AGGGGGGGGGGGGTGCATGTACAGTATATAAATAATAAAAAATATTATATATAAATATATAACGAAAAGTTGTTTAAAAAGAGTTAAGCAAGAAAAATGAAGAAAAAAAAAAGATGTAATTAAATTGTCATGAAAAATATCAAATAAAATATTAGAACTAAATGCGAAAAAATATATAGATATTTTATGGCAAGTTAGGACAAACGGTTTTTTAGGGGAGGGGGGGCAAAAATAATTTTTTTAGAGGGGCCAAAAATTTTTTTTTACTTACTCTTCTATAAAAAAAAAATTTTTTTTTTGAGGGGTGGCCAATTGCCCCCCCTAAGGAACCATGCAATGAAGGTCTTCATTTGTAATCGACTACAAATTCTAGTGGATTCATTCAAATTAGGCCATGCCCTGTGGTTTTTCCTACTTTTTAGGTGTTTTCATGTAAAAAATTTTGTTTTTCTTATAAATTCTACACCCTTTCTTTTTATCGGATTGTGTGATGGACGTTAAATTTTATATTTCTCTACCGCTACGAATATTCCAGAATGCAACATATCTAGAGCATATAACTTTTCGTCCTACATTCTGATCACACATTCACAGAAGCCTCAAAGTATTATTTCTTTATTTATTTTTCTTAAAGTGAGTTCATTTTTTTCATTTATTTATTTACTATGTTGATCAGCACTTTCAGAGAAGCCCCAATAAATTAATATAGTATTCTCTTAAAGAAGCCAAACGCCAAAGCCGGTGAAAAACCATCTCATCAAATGGCTTTCTGAATCATGCAAACGCCAACAATAATCCAAAGTCAGATTCATTGTATTGTTGACGCATAAAAGAAGTGTTCTATGCGACGTCTATATCAGTTGTTTATATAATAACTAATGTGGCTTTTAAAATCACTTTACAGTTTTTTTTATCATCCATTTCATTTAAGATACTTATTTTTATGCAATATATAACTATTCCGTTCAGTTATACTTTTTAATTAAGAAAAAAAGCTATTTTAATTTTCATGAGATTTAGGGTTTGTTTGATACGGATGCAATGTTTTGCAAAGCTGATGGTGGACATTTTAATTTTTTTTTTGGAGAAAAAAATCAATCAAGTTTTTTCTTACAGCAATCACATATTAGCAAGAATCTATTTGGGATAACTTTCTGACTGTTTTATTTTTCATACATAGGCTTCGTTTGGGATAGCTTTCTTCTTGCTTCTTAAATCAACTTTTTTAATACAAAGTTTTTAATTTTTTGAACTAAAATTTTATTTTAAGAAGCAGTAAAAAAGTCATCTCAAATGGAGCCTTAGCTCTTACTTTCTGATTTCTTTCTCACTGTTTTTAAAATTTTTATATTATGAAAAGCTGCTTTTTACGATCATAGTAGCTAAGTTATTTTCTCCACTACCCACAATTAGGCTTGGTTTGGGACGACTTTCTTGCTGCTTCTTAAAGCAGCTTTTTAGTAAAAAGATTAGAATTTTTATTACTAGAAAGAAGCTGCTTTAAGAAGCAATAAGAGCCATCCAAATGATACCTTAGTTTTTTTAAAATGCTGCAGCCCCAAAGTGAATCTGAATCTAGTTATAAAAACAGCTTTCTATTATAAAATTTCTTTAAAGCAGAGAAAAAGCACAAAAAAAAATGATAGCTAAATAAAATTATGAAAAAAAAATTGAAAGAAGCTATCCCAAATACACTTTTATAAGGGCGCAACTTCTGCCAAGGAGACTTAGGGAGTACATTTATTGTCCCATGAGAATACAAACAACAGTCAAAAGATTATCTGCATCAAATTCAGCAAAAATGTAAGAACATAGAACCTTACCATCAAGATTACAACTTTGAACCTTATCAGTTATCAATAGGAGTAGGAATTATCTATCATTGTTTACTTTATATTGACATTTGTGGTCATGATATTTTATGAAAATATTTATATAATCAAGGACAATAAATATTATACAAATTTTTTATTTTTATTTCTATCCTATTAGTAGCCCACTAATGCCCTTTTCATAAACATCATTTAAATTTTTCAAAATAAATTATCTAATGATCTGACAGTTAGTTGAAAAATCGCATAAATATATCACATTATGATTGATGTCATAATGAGATTGATAGTCCTTACATTTACGTTGAGATTGATTACAAACAACGCTAATCTCAGGACTGCTTAAAAATATCCTAATTTCAATCAAATTATCGTTCTTTTTATGCTTACCAAGCGCTCTTCTTTGGTACTGAGTCATTCAAAATGTTATTTTCCTTGATTTTATTTAACACAATTTTTTTTATATAGAAAATCCACCATAATAAATATCAAAAGCTATAATTTATTTATTTTAAAATAAATATAACATTAATTATTAATATATTTCACTTGAAAATACTCTCAATAAAACAAAATTATTAGCAAGACTAATAACATTCTCGTGAGAAAAGAAAAAAAAAAAAGAAAGGAACTGCTTAGAATATGAAAAATTATTCTGTGTAGACACCGAATAGTTCAGGAGCCAATCAGAGTACGGTATACAGCACCGATACAAAACAAAAAAGTAATGTGATACATTATGGTTGATCTTTAGATGGCGGTCGATATCCGTACAGAATAATTTTTATAAATATGATACAATTTCATATCAAAATGAGCCTACCAAATTAAAATAAATCAAATAATTTAATATCTCATTCTCATCAAAATTATATCAGACATAAACTTCTACAAAAAACAGAGCTACAAAGTGGCGAAAAGAAATTACATGCAATATCATAAACTAATATTTGAATACAACAAATTAATATGAAAAACAAAGGCGCAAACAGACCGAGGAACCAATTTGCCCCACTGATTCCCACATTCCCCACAACCCGAAGACACCTACACTTTCCGTTATACTCTCCAACCCCACTTGATTTCTTTTCCACCGCCGACCTGACCTCCTCCCACCCATCCTTCCTCCATTCCACCGCCGACGACCCCAATTCCCGAATCCTCTCCCTCGCCAATTCAACCGCGCAATTTTCATTCTCTGTATAACTTTCTGCAGCACCATCTTCATCGTCTTCAAATTCTCGCTCCAGTTTCCCCAGTTCAAAAACGCTTCTTGGCGACGGCTCCGGCGAATCGGCGAGGAAAGAATGCTGGAGCAGTTGCTCGCATGTCCACCGTTCGCTGGGATCTCTTCGTATACATTTGTCGAGGAAATCCTGACCCGTCTTCGATAACCATGGCGGAAATTCTGGCAAAACCTCGCAAAACCCTACGCGAAACATCTGAACAGGCGGATCCCTGACGTCGGCGATACCCGATTCCTCCCACGGCTGCCTTCCACCGCTAAGCATCTCGATTACCGTACATCCCAGTGACCACACATCCGACGCCGGCGTTGCCGCCTCACCTCTCGCCACTTCCGGCGCCATCCACAGTGGCGTTCCTGCACCCCTCGCTGCCTCCCCCAACCCCTTACTCGCAGTTCCGAAATCCGCCAGTTTCGCCATTCCCGTCGGCGATCCAAGAATTACATTCCGACCCTTGACGTCGCCGTGAACTACGCCGGCTGTTGTGTGGAGGAAATGAAGTGCTTGAGCGATGGACCTCGTACAGCTCCGCACGTCGGCCTCCATCATCTTTCCGGTGGCGGCGAGGTCGGCCGCCGTGCCACCAGGGAGATACTCCAGAAGCAAGTTCCGCCACAGGCCGTCAGGTTCCTCCGTGACGTCGTCACCGAGGTAGGATACGACGTGAGGGGAATTAAGAGAAGAAAGAAGGCGAATTTCGTTCTCTAAGGCAGCAAGCGCGCGCGGCGGAGAGGAATTCAACTTGATGGATTTAACCGCAAAAATTGTACCGTTGGATCTGTCTACGGCGAGGCTCACCGTTCCGAAGGAGCCTTTTCCGATGATTCCTCCCCTCGCCCACCTCCTTTCCATGTTACTCGATACTAAGAGCTGCAAGGCAATGGGGGAGTCTGGAAACAGAGTAGACTGTGAGCAGAGAGGCCCTGCTTTGCTCTCTTTATAGGCACGCTGTGGTAATAAAAGAATTTTATATAAGGATATATTATGATATTAAATTTATTAAGTATAATATAAAAAATTATATAAATGTTTAATATTGGAATTATTTAGCAAGAAATAAAAAAAATAATATCATAATTAATTTTATTTAGGAAAAAAAATAAAATGTCTTCTAGTTTTGACCATTTATTTTATAATTGTGAGTGGTTATCTTTTAATAATTTAATTATGAGACAAATAATAATAAAATATTAAAAAATTATTTGTATAATATTTGACTATAATATTATATTAATCAAAAAATAGATTAAAGGGTTTTAAAATTCATTGCAATCAAAAATTTTATGAGGATATTCAAACATAGTATTTTATGTATAAATTGATAAAAGAAAAATGAAATAGTTGGCTTAATTTTTTACCCTTTATTTTATTAATTACATATAACTATCTTTCTATTTATTTTTTATATAATTTATACTAAATATTTTTGTTTTTTTTAAACCAACTTAATTATGTATGTAAATTAAAATAGCAAGATTTGTTTCAATTGAGAATATTTGTTTTAATTATATTAATTTTTATAATAATATTCTGATAATTTATAATTGATCAATTATACAATTTATAATTATATATTGTTAATTATAAATTATATCGGACAATTATATAATTTATAGTAAACATTTTTCAATAAAATTTTTAATTTTTTACTTTTTATGATAGCATTGATCTCAAACAATATTAAATAATTTTAAAATTTTATTTGATCAAAATTAAATTAAAATACTCTGCTAAATTTTATTATATAAATATTAAGATTTTTTGCCCATCAAACAAATTATTTGCCTTTTTGTAGTTGGATTGCTAATTTATTAGCTGTGGAGAATTTTAAATTTTGTTTGCATGCTCTTTGAGCACGCACTTACTTACATATAATATTAGTCCATCATCGGAGAGGTCAATCATCTCATCGCTGATAGTGATTTTTTTGGGGGAATTTAAAAAAAAAAAATTGGGGAATATATCTTCGCTGATCAGTCCACACAAAAAAGAATAAATAGTACGATTTTTTTTTTTGCCAATACAAACTGCAAAGGGTGAAGAGATATTAACAAAAAAAAAATAAATAAGACAGAAAATCTTTTGCTTGTATCTCACCCTAAGTTCATATTTTTTAAAACTATATTAAGGAATTGCAAGCAAGATCGGGAGGAATTTTTCTTTCGTCACCGATTTGCAACTTAATCTCACTAAGTTTACAAATTTATTAATAAATCACACATAATTAGGGGAAGAATCTTATATAGCTGACGGTGAGCAATTATTTATCCTTGGTACGTCATCATGAAATTATCTTGATCGGGCACAAATCTTGAGGCAAAACTCAACCCGAAAACTTCAAAAATTAAAATCGGGAGCACCTGACTCCGATTTCAGCAAGCTTACAGTCAAATTGAGCGTCTCGGAAATACGAAGCCAATGATACCAAATTCAACCCAATCTGAGTCCAAATGGGTTCAAATCAAAGACCCAAAGCGCTGTAGGAATGTTCAAACCACAATTTTAGTTACCAAACGGTATTCGATTTTAACGAGCTTATACTCGAATCGAACGACTTGACGATACGAATCCAACGAGCCCAAGATAGCCAAATTCTGCAACACTAAGGCCTTCAAATGTCCAACGAACGGTCCATAATCAAGAGATTCAATATCGGCCGTCCATTCAAACCACTCCCGATTCGCCCTTGATCTCTCATCTATTTACGGGCCATGCCACTTCAAAAAATTTATAAATATAGCCCTCATTTCTCATGAAAGGGGGCCAGAGTGAGAAGAAGCAAGAAGAACAAGAGAAGAAGAAGAGAAGGGGAAGGAGAATCAGCTACTCCTCGACCACCACCGGAGTTCGTCCCGCCGCTCGAACACGCCAGGATTTTGCGTGATATTCGGGAGAATGCCGAAATTCTGTCCAACTTCCACGTGATGCTGAAATTCTTCCCAATTAACGACAGAGTTCCCTCCTAACGCCGAAACTCCGCCCAAGTGAAGCCGGAGTTCTCCTCTGCCACAAACAGACGTCGGATTTCTACCCGACGTTGAACCTTCACTCTTCGCCAAGTTTCTACCCGACGCCGAACTTCTACCGATTATCGGACTTCGCTGGACGTCTATGTGAAGATGGATTTCTTTCCATGGTTGGACTTCTACTTGACGCCGTACTTCTGACCTTCGTCGTCAGACAACAGTTCTTCCGACCTTCGTCACCAACCGACTACGGTCCTCCTGACTTACGTCGTCCGCCAACTACAGTCTTTCCGACATCCGTCGCCCGCCGACTACAGTCTTTCTGGCCTCCGTCGCCCGCCGACTACGGTACTCCTGACTTATGTCACCCACCGACTACATGCCTTCCGACCTCCGTCGCCCGCCGACTATGGTTCTTCCGACCAAACGAACACGTCAACAATGACTCTTTGTATTAACATCATGTAATGTACTCCATAAGATGTACATCAAGCTAAGGCCTTCCCCCAAGGAAAGACCTCATTTGTAATCAACTACAATACTAGTGGATTCATTCAAACTGGGCTAGGCCCCGTGATTTTTTGCCCATTTTCTGGGGTTTTCCACATAAAAATCTTGATGTCTCATAAATGCTAGACACACTCTCTTATCTTATTGCGTGCTAGATTTTTGTACAACGCTAAGACGTCGAATTTTATATTTCTCTACAACCATGAATATTCCTGGATGCAATAGTTTGGCGTCGTCTGTGGAAACATGGTTCCCGACTAGGGGGGCGGCAACTTTTGCTCCAATCTCAAAATATCACTCTTATCGACTTCCTGACATTAGTCATTGTTGCATCAAATGCAGACTGGGGGGCAACTTTGACGCCAATTTTGGTCAAAAAGATCCCTCCAATACTTCCAACATGAAGAAGATATGTCAGGAAAGTCTCAAGAAATACAAGGATACTTCTGATCAATAATAAGCTAAATATAGTCCCCTGCTGAACTTCTACTCCTTGGGCAAGGTCTTGATCTTGACGTCAAAAAGGCAGTAACGGTCTAAAGATAGACCATTTTTTATCTTTGATTCGGGATACACGCGGCGTTCGCCCCCTCCCAATCAAAGCAAAATCAATCTCAAGGGGATTTGATTCGACCTCTTCCACACAGGTTAACGTCATCGAGCAGGGCTCTGACATACAACCTCGGATAGGTCTTACATCCTTGGTGGATTCTCGCGACCTCTTCCATACATGTTAACGTCGTTGAGCAAAGGCTCCGACATACAACCTCGGATAGTTCTCACATCCTTTGTGGATTCTCTCGACCTCTTCCACACAGGTTAACGTCGTCGAGCAAAGGCTCCGACATACAACGTCGGAAATGTCTCACATTTTAGTGGATTCTCTCGACCTCTTCCGCACAGGTTAACGTCGTCGAGAAAAAAGCTACGACATACAACCTCGGATAGGTCTCACACCCTTGGTGGACTCTCTCGACCTCTTCCACACAGGTTAACGTCGTCGAGTAAAAGCTCCGACATATAACCTCGGAAAGGTCTCATATTTTTAGTGGATTCTCTCGAATTCTTCCACACAGGTTAACATCGTCAAGAAAAGGCTCCGACATACAACCTCAGATAGGTCTCACATCCTTGGTGGATTCTCTCGACCTCTTCCACACAGGTTAACGTCGTCGAGTAAAGGCTCCGACATACAACCTCGGAAATGTCTTACATCCTTGGTGGATTCTCTCGACTTCTTTCACACAGGTTAACATCATCGAGCAAGGCTCTGACATACAACCTTGGATAGGTCTTACATCCTTGGTGGATTCTCTTGACCTCTTCCACATAGGTTAACGTCATTGAGTAGGGCTCTGACATACAACCTCGGATAGGTCTTACATCCTTGGTGGATTCTCCTGATCTCTTCCACACAGGTTAACGTCATTGAGCAGGGCTCTGACATACAACCTCGGATAGGTCTTACATCATTGGTGGATTCTCCCGACCTCCTCCACACAGGTTAAGGTCATCGAGCATGACTTTAACATACAACCTCGGATAGGTCTTACATCCTTGGTGGATTCTCTCGACCTCTTCCACATAGGTTAATGTCATCGAGTAGGGCTCTGACATACAACCTCGGATAGGTTATATATTCTTAATGAATTCTCTCGACATCATCTACAAAGATTTTTAACAGATTGAAAAGCCTCAAAAAATGTCAATGGAATTACATAGCAAAAGATGGTACATCAAGTTTATTTTTGCAAAAATATGAATGCAAAAAAGTACAATGGCGTCACTCGTACAAGCCACTATCATCAAGCAACAACTCCCTTCAAAATAATTAAAAATCCTTAGTGGCTTCAAGTGACTTCTTCTTTACTATACATCAAACATCTCCTACAACTTCTTATTCAAAGAAAGATTACAATTTGATCTTCATCAGGCCTCAACTCAGTTAACACTATACATCTATCGCCAGAATGTCGGCATAACACACTGCTCCGGCCCCATGAATAAGGGATATCTGATGTTGGCAAACTTCCGTATGGATGCTTATTATATTTGCAAAATGCAACTAGACCACCGTCATCATTGACTCTTTGCCTGATGTTCGTTGTCGGTCCTTTACTTCGTAGAAGCCATCATCAGGTTCTCGCTCGACTGCTACTTGCAATGCACCTTCGAACTCTCCCCTTCAGCTCTCCACTCGATCGTTGATTGCTAAGGGGCTTCAACTCGATCGTCCATTGCCGAAAAACTTTCGTTCAAATGGCATTGAAATTCTCTCAATCGGCTCATTTCTTTTGGTTCTCCTCCAAGATGCTATCATCGCCAGATCTTC